GTGTGTGTGTGTGTGTGTGTGTGTGTGTGTGTGCATGTGCTGGGGGGAGGGGAGGGAGGACCCCTCCCCCACGAATCAATCAATCAATCAATCAACCAATCAATCAATCAATCAATCAAACAATCAATCAAACAATCAATCAGTCAATTTGTCAATAAAAAAACAATTAATTAATCGATATTTATTTATTTTACTATTTTTTTTATTTTTTGTTTCACACATAAAAAACTGCCCCCCCAAATTTTTGATCTTTTTTTTTTTTTTGGATAGGCCGGCAGCGGCTGACGTGCGCAGGCCGCGCGCGCGTGCCATTTTCCCACGCGCCGCCGCATGGCTGTGGCGAGGCCGCAAAAAAAGTCGGTCGTGCGGCCTAGGCCGCGGGCCCGCGACCAACCTCCTCGGCCGCGGCCGAGTCGGAGGCGGCCTCGGCCTAAGGGGACACATAGGTCAGCGGGTTCCACCCAATGAAAAACGACTTCGAGGAGGCAGAAGTTTAGGCTCAGCGCTACGTTACCTACGTGAGCGTGCCACCACTGCGTCCACTAGGCTGCGTCCAGAATCGGCACGTCCAACTGTCTAATTCTGAACGATAGAGCGGGGTCCACCGCAGACTACCAAAACATAGGAATGTCGGAGAGAAGGTTGAAGGTAGAGAGGCGGTGGCGGTTCATTGAGGCCGGGCGAAAGGACGAAGTTCCGGGAGGACGACTTCTGGCGCGGTGGAGGAAACGCGAAGCTGACGGTCGATGCCATTGGCTGTTGTGGCACGATCGCACGGTCGAGCCAATAATCACACCCACTCAGGTGTGATGCGTGTTGCCCAGTCTCGCAGTTGTCGGAGGATGGCGGTGTGTTGTGGCGGATGCAGTGTTGTGATGTCGCCTGTAAAGACGACAATGACCAACACGTGGCTTTCGTCGGGTGGGGATAAACGTAAGAAGGCCGACACGTCAGGCAATACTCGTGCCACCCTAGTCAGTGCGAACCGAAACTCCGCCTGCGCGTGAATGGCCGTTGTACTGAAAAAGGCCGCGAATCGGAGAAGATCCAGACTCAATCGAGGATTCTGTACTTGCCGGATTGCAGAGAAAGTTCCCCCGGGTACCGTTAGACGCTCACTGATCACCTGCTACGTCGAAAAGCTCATGGTGATGGAGGCGGAGTCAAAGACGATGGTTGGGAGAGAAAGGAGGATT